GACCTTCCCACAAGAGCAATAGTTTTTTCTCCAAAGAATCTCGAGGCGTTTCTTTCACTGTGTGCTCTTTTTTTAAATATATTCCACTCATTGCCTCATGTAAATTTGCCTCGCCAACAAACTCAGATACAATTTTTTCGGATTCCACAACACACATCTGCAAACAGAAAACACAAAAGTTAACCCATCTACGTCTTCCCCAGATATACTGATACTCAACCACCGCACACAATCAGTCTTCCAAAGACGGTTGTCAAACTACTATACTACTATCCAAAAATGTGATTCTCCCCACTTTATGCACCGAAACAGTCGGAGAAAATAATTAATTTGGAATGGTGTGGGTATTTGTATGCTTACCTAGAAGTGTAAAGGCCAACGGTAATTTTTTGGCTGCGATCTAAAATGCAATTCCTTAATTTTTATTGCTAAAACGTGCTCGCTTTTCTGATTAAGGTAGGTATGTTAGGTTTTGTAGTTGAACTTGATGAAATGATCAAGGAATAGGCTACACTTAGGTTTGAGGTTAGGAATCGCTTAAAGGGGAGGGTGAGCTTTAGATTTGGGTCGGGGTTAAATTTATCCGCCGAAGATCATGTCACCCAATCAAACATGCTTGATCAATAACCTTGGATTTCCTGTTTCCAGCCTGTTTGCACGCCTCTAATTTTTATTTTTCATACTGCAAGTCTGCTCTAGCACATCGTTGACATAGTTAAACAAATTTATGCTAAAAAATGGAATATTTTCCATGCTCTTTGCAGCTTTCCTTAATTGCTTCGCTCATCTGCCCAACTGATAAAAATAATATAACAACCCTTCCTGTTGTACAGGAGCCGCTTTGCTCTTTTCTCTCGGTGAACCTTCATAGTAGATCCTTGCTGATTTTTGAAATCAGTTGGCATGCTGTCTACCGAAATAACTTATATTGTAAACCCTGGAAAGCTGGCACACCCTTTCGGTACAGCACGCCTCCTGCGCGAAAAATCCGCCTTGTTTGCGAGGAGTCGCCGTGGTGATGTCACGTGATTAAGCTGACTGGTATGCCGCCGACACGCGAAAGAAGAGCGTTCTGATTTGACGCGTGGAAGCATAGCCAATAGTAATCACTTAACAGTGTAAATACGCCCGTTGTGCCTGTGGCTCCGCAGACAGCGAGCGAAACCGATAGAGGATTGTTTCTTGTCTGTAACTGCAGTTTAGACTTTGAGAAAAACGCCATGGTTTGGTCCTCAGCCTTGTGCACTCTGACCGGTCGCCTGGATGGAAAGCTGGCAATTATCACTGGGGCCAACAGCGGGATCGGAAAGGAAACTACCGCCGAGCTGGCCAGACGAGGCGCAAAGGTGATTATGGCCTGTAGGAACAAGGAGCGAGCCGAGGAGGCACGCAAATGGATCCTCGACTGCTACGGCGAAGGAAAGCCTGAGGCCCTGAGGCAGAATGTGGCTAATGATGAGGTCAAGAAGTGTCTCACGCCAGTGAAGCCAGAACAGGTAAGTGGGAAATGAGCACACAGTGCAGGCTGAAACTCGTGAAAAAAACCACTAACTTTGCCTGAGAACCTTTTTAGCGGGCACACCGTTTACATCACGCATGTTATACTGCGTTAAAGAAACGACCAATCTCATAAAGAAGGCATATTTTAATTCATAAATTACGATTTATTAGCTGTGGAATAATTTGGCTTGTCAAAAACCGTCAAATAAAAAGTACTCTACGACAGACCAATTATGTAAGGCCTTGTATAAGGGACACAAATATGGGAAGATGGGGTAGAAGGAAAAAATAGGGAAAAGTAATAAGATGCAGCGCAGCAACATTTTTTGATTTTCCCTTTGTGTGCAAAACTGCAGAGGGCATAGAGACAACTAAATTGTCAATTTCGGTTTGGTCTATACAATTATTAAGCATAAACTCCAACTTCTGCTCCATTTAAATATGTTTCGTTGGCTCCTCTCATTTCCTGTTAATTACCGCAAAGAAATTCTCGATGGGATTAAGGTCGGGGCTGTTCGCAGTCCGCAGGCGGAAAGCCCGGCTATGGTTTAAAACTTAGATTATAGTCATAAGAAAAATTATTTATTTTGGTCGGTGAACAGGGGCGTTATCCTGCAACATTACATTTTCCATTCCGTATCGGTGAAGGCTCTTATAACTGAAGACATCCTGTAGGATATCGATTAAAACCTTGCTGTTTATGCTTTCTCTCATCGACCGACAGATCGGTCCCTCTCCGAATTCGATTGTAATCCAAACCATCAGGCGTCGATAGTTCTTAAAAGCTGTTATGGAGACCATGTGTTTTCGGGAGAGTTCTTTTCAAATATGACCGCCTGGTCGACTTTCAGGACTTATCTGCAAAAATGACTTTATCACAAAAGCATATGCTCTTCCAATATAAAAGCTTGTGATTAATATATTCTTGGCAAATAGAAAGCGGCCGTTGATTATTTTTTACTACTTAAAATGGCTTCATCATGGCCGTCTGCTGATGAAAGCCGCATTCCTGCATTCTTCTCTAAATAGATACTGAGAGACGATTGTTAATAATCATAACGGGCATATAATGGTGTCTTGTTAGTGCGTGGCAAATACAATTGTCATCCTACGTAGTTGTGGACCGTTTTCGTCCACCTTTCTTACTTTTAGGTACTGTTCAATTATTGATAATTGTCAACTATGTGGCCTGGCTAATATCAAAATAGTAACCGACGACCTAAGCAGCAGCCTTTCACCTGCTAATTTTCGTACTCGTTCGAAGTTAGTGTCAGACAGGGAAATGCTTTGACACCGCAATGACACGGTGTGACACAGAAAAGTGAAAGCATGGCGTGCGTTCCGGTAGTGTTAACGGTCCTAATTTTCGATGCGGTAAAACAAGAAAGTGCTTTACAAATGTAGAACTGCATTTTGTGGCAAAAACATTAGAACTTTACAAAAAACTATTTTTTGAAGTTGAATTCTACCCTGGGTTATCCGAAAATAATGCGGTTCCTTAAACTTGTGCTCGCCCAATTCTCATATTCTTAAGATCGCATTTTCCGTTTCCATAGGATATTTACTTAGACGTATTACTGCTTTTATTGACGTTCTTTTATTGCACAACGCAAAAAGACAAAAGGTTTTTTTCTGTCCTACTAAGTAGCTTAGGAAATTTTTTCGACATTTAGCCACCTCCGAGTTCGCCAAAATGCTGTTTTCTTTAGTAAAAGGCTTTCTGATCATAAGACCCACAGAAGAGGGTAAAATGACAAGGCCAAATATACGCTTAACTCCCAATTTTGACCACGGATTTGCATAATTAGCCGACCTATTATATATATGGAAGTAGGTCGCTCATCGATCTGGTAAGGGAAGATACTCGCCTCATTTTACCTAGGAGCCCAATCTAGGTCTCTCACAGGCAGTCCCATAGCGGCTTGTGATGTATTTTACATTGGAACCGGGAGACCGGAATCACCATTTCTAGTTTATTAGCCGTCATCAGCAAGTTGTAGCCAATCCATAATTTTCCCGATCTCAAGCGACAAAATAAATGAGTCTGGGGTGCAATGTTAGAGAATTGCACCCCATTAGCAAAAAGGTCTCGGGTTCGAATCTCAGTTGGTCCACACATGGGATTTGGTATAACTGGCTCATGACGGTTAATTAACCAGAAATGCCAATTACAGTCTCCCTTATATTTGTAGGTTTTACTTCAACATGAATCACAAGTCACTATGCGACTGCCTGTGATGGATCTAGATTGAGCACCAAAGCAAAAGGGAAGGAGTATGTTCCCTAACGAGTTCGGTGAGCGCCCTACTTCCATCATATCCCCGATCGCAACCGACAGCATAAATGAGTCTGGGGTGCAATGATAGAGTGTTGCACCCCATGACCAAAGGTCTTCGGTTCGAATTCCGGTTGGTCCACACCTGCGATTGGATACGACTGGCTGATAACATCTAACAGGCCAGAAATCGCAATTACGGTCTCCCTTGTCTTTGTCGGTTACACTTTAACATAGATATAAACTGGCAAATGTGCG